GATTGAGCATTGTCCCGTGCATGGACTGAGAGCAGGACCTAGGCCTGGGTTGCAGGCTCGATTCCCAGTGTGGGGCAGCCAATCGATGTATCTCTCTCATATCCTCACATTGATGGTTCTCTCTCTCTCTCTCGCCCTCCCTCCCTCTCTCTAAAAAAAAAATAAGTTTTGGCATTTTTCCTCTTTTTAACAACTAAGAGTGGAGGAAATGGGTTAATTTTGTGATTGTGTTGCAGAGCGTCAGCCACAAGTGTTTTTCATGTAGAATGATGAGTATTTCATTTTCTATATGTACCCAAATCCCCACTGTGTGGTTAGGGGTCCCCCACCGCCAATTATTGCTTACCATCTTTTATTTTCATTGTTCAAACATTGCTTTTAACCAAACCATCATAAATTCATTTTTTCTTCTTTATCTCTGTGTGTGTTTCTTCCAAGAGTTCCCCAGAGTCCTCACTAGCAGGCTGTCACGGATCTGTTTCTGCATCAGCGCTGTGTTCACTGATGGCTGTAGGCATCAACACGGCACTGGGGTTTTATTAGCTGCTGTTGGCAGTTTCATTTTTATAGCTGCTCTGTGTGTGTATGTATGTGTGTGTGCGCGCGTGTGCGTGTGTGCCCGCGCGCCTTTGTGTTTGGTCTCCATGAGTGTTGCTTAATTAGGCAATTTGAAATTTCAAGAAGGTAGTCCCATCCTAGCATGATGCCTCAGTTGAGAAAAATCATAGGGCTGTTCAGACTATAGAGTATTAGGCTTGGTAAAAAATACTTATCGTATTGCTTGTAAATTCTTTCTCATTGCTAATTATAGAGTGAAAATACATAACTTTGGCTAAATTAACTTGATAGAGACTCAGACAACCAATTAGTTACATGCATAGGTAGTGAAATACAAACAAGAGAAAAGAGATCAAGAGAAAATGCTAGTTTTGTCTGCTCACTGCCTGCCTTCCTCTGTCCTTCCTTTAGTTACTGATTGAGCACATACTGTGTGGTTGCCTATTTTGATTAATTTCATGCCTGGATAACTTTAACATTGGTAGACTTTGTTTTCAAACATTAGATTCCATGCTTCCCCATACAGTTACACAAAGGTAAATTCAAAATTTGGAAAGGAGACAGGTAACTTCGAAAGTTCGTTTTAGACTTCATCCTGTGATTGCTCCTACTCCACCTCTCTGCTACTGCCCCACCTCTCTCTCTCCCAACCTTGAACAGATGGACGAGGAAGTCTGTCCAAGGGACATGAACTTACTGGGGTGCAGCAACAGGTGTTGTTACTATCTTCAATCCTGAGAGAAAGGTAGAGTAGAAATTATTATTTCCACCCTGAAGACAAAGTAACAGAGGTTTGGAGAGGTTAAACAACCACCCAAGATTATTACACAGTAATTAGTGGCAGGGCTCTCCTCTCTCTCTCTCTCTCTCTCTCTCTCTCTCTCTCTCACACACACACACACACACACACACAGCCTGCTCTTGTTTCGAGTTGAAAATTTGAAAGTAAAGTCTTTGGTCCTGAAATATTGGCATTTCATAGTTTCTCGAGCACAAGGGGAGAAAGAAGGAGAGAAACTAGGAGGAGGGGTTCACAGAAGCATCCTGGGAGGTGAACAGAGACCTGCTCAGATCTTGGACTTGATTGCCTCCCGATTTTGTGCTGTTGCCCTGGACAGTTTGGAGATGTTACTTGAACTGAAACACTTGAGAATGTGGGAACAGTCTTAAATGTCTCATCACTAGAAGTCCATTGATGATTTAAAAAAAAAAAAAAAAGCCATATTTTTTTCCCTAGAGTTCTTTTTTCCTTCCTTTTTCTCCCCTCTTCCTCTATTTTTTTTGGCTAATTCCCTCTGAAATACAGTAAGTCCCCACTTAACATCCTTGTTAATAGATTCTGTGACTTTAAGCAAAATAGATAATGAAACCAATTTTACCACCAGCTAATTGATATAAATAGAATTAAGTTCTGTCCGGCCAGTGTGGCTCAGTGGTTGGGCATCGACCCATGTGCCAAGAGGTTGCCGGTTCAGTTCTAGGTCAGGGCACATGCCCAGGTTGTGGGCCTGATCCCCAGTGGGGGGCATGTAGAAGGTGGCCAGTTGATGTTCTCTCTCATCCATGTTTCTATCTCTCTCTCCTTTTCACTTCCTTTCTCTCTAAAATCAATAAAGGAAGAAAAGTTTTTTTTAATAGAATTAAGTTCCTGCAGCATCTCATCAACATTAAAATGAATGATGGTGAACGAAGTTGGCATATTTCTAGAACCTGCCGTAACTGATGAATAATTGGTGCCATCTCTCTTGGCTTGCCGGGGGTCAGTGCAATGCAATGAACTACAAGCACATGCTGGTTGCAGTGAAGGGGAGCATCGCAAGAGAGCAAATGCTCCAGGTCTCTGGATGCAGCCCAGTTTATTTGCAAAGTGGTTCCCCAGGTTACATGTTGATTTAGATAATTATTTCCTTGAGATGGTGTCTCTAATGACCATACAGCCAAGCCCTGTCTCTTGCTTTTTACAGTGAAGAAATATCAAAGGAATTACAAAATAACAGAGCCATCCTCTCCTGGGCTTCCTCACCCATTATCCTCTCAGGGTGGTCTTCCAACCCTTTGACATGCAAACCTAATCTATTCACATGCAAACAAAACATTCAGTTCCAGCCCCTCTCCCCCTTCCTGCCCTCCAGGCAAACCTATCTGTCCACACATACACTTTGATCCTAGGCTGGCCAGGTCTTGAGAATGCATATCACAAGGTTACATTTTGTTGATCTACCAAACCTCCATCCCTACAAATTGGTAGTCAGTGGAACTGGGGTTATGTTTACCTTGAAGATGAAACAAGGGACTGTCCCCATAAACAGAAGTGCCATTTCCAGTTATTTCTCTTTTGCAGATTAGAAATCCTTTAGTATCTAGCAGAAGGTATCACCCTCATGACATATAAGCATCCCATCTTTTCTCAGCCGTCCTATTCAGAACTGCACTGAGTTCTCCGCCATCTTCGAAAACATCTAAAAAGTGTCCCATCTTCTTTTGTCCAAATGCTGGCCATGCTGTGCGTTATTGAATACCATGGGGTTGATAGTAGATGATCATAATAGCAATCAGAACCTTACCACTGAACATTAGCATAGTAGATGGTGTCAAGGACATTTTATAACTCACTATGGTCCCACAAGAATTTTAGGCTGCTTCAAAACCTTATTAATGATCTCTCAACATGAGTGCACTAACCCATTTGTGTGCACGAGCAACACATGTAAGTTTCATGAGGGTAGGGATTCCCTTTGTTTTATTTGTTGCTGTATCCTTGTAAATAGTAGGCTCTCTGTAATATATTTGTTGTTTAATGAAATAATAGTAATATTGAAACACTGAAAAATAACTTCTTTGTGCTTTAGTTTTTAATTTTGTAAAGTCGTAAACATTGGTAAAATTTATAATTAATGTCTTATAGAACATATTTACCTTAGAAACTTTGACTATCTGATATAGTTCTTCTGAATTCAGAATCAAGTATCATCCCTTTTCAAATGCATTAATTGAAACAGAGAAAATGAAAAAAAATAAGTAGTGACTTAGAAAACTAGTGATAGAGCTGGAATGTTCTCTTGGCTAACCAAGACTTCTTTCTGGTTTTTCCTTACTTTTTAACTAATGTTTTAAGCAAATAAAGCGCTATGTGATATATATGAATGTTACCTAACAACCATCAGTACCTAGAATAATTTAGCATTTTACAGGTTCTTGACTTTAGATACTTGAGTTAACCTAATAAAGCTTGGAAGGATACTGTTCACTACTTATGTTTTTTTTTTTTATCCTCACCCGAGGACATTTTTCCATTTTTTGTACAGATAGGGTGGGAGGGAGGGAGAGGAAGAGAGAGAGAGATAGAGAAACATTGACATGAAAGGGACACATCGAGTGGCTGCCACCTGCACGACCAACCAGGGCCGGGGACAAACTGCAACCGAGGTACATGCCCTTAGCGGGAACCGAACCCGGGTCTCTCTGGACCGCAGGCTGACGCTCTTACCACTGAGCCAAACCGGCCAGGGCTGCTACTTATGTTTTGTTGTGTTCAGTCCCCTAGTGGGGAGTGATACCAAATTATTCAGAAAAGACTTCTATAAGCTTCTGTAATAGTGATGGTCAGTTATTTAAGGGTCCACAACTGTGTAATCTGGAGATTTTTTTTTTGTAGTATAATGTTACACATAATTTATTCATGGCAGTTGTGTCTTGGCAAGAAAATTTAAATTAAGGGTTTTAAGGAAGTACATTTATTCTTTTGTAGGTGATATTGTAGGGGAGGGAAAACAGTGATTGGTAGATATTTAAAATTAGTGACACTCAGGAATTTGGCTCAGGTAAGGTTTGGGGACCATCTTAATGCTTTTGTTTAATTCTACTCCATATATGGCCTCTTTTATTTCTGATATGAAGTTAGCTATTATTTTTAGCATTTCCCCCTATATGTAATGGGTCAGTTTTTGTCCCAGTTGATTTTCTGTTCAGCAGAACAATGACCAGCCAAGGTGTGGTTTTCTTGATATTTATCCTCCTTGGGGTTTGCTAAGGCTTCTTGGATCTGTGGATTAATACCTTTTATCAGTTTTAGAAAAATGCATCCATTATTTATTTTGTCTCCTTTTCTCTCCTCTCCTGTCTCCTTTTCTCTCCTCTCCTGGAACAACATTTACTTATATATGATGTAGTCCCATATATCTTGGATACTTAATTCCATTTTCTTTTACTCTATTTTTTCTCTTTGTGTTTCAGTTTGAATAATTTCTGTTAGTGTGTCTTCAAGTTTACTGATCCTTTTCTCTGTTGTGTCTGTCTGGATTGAGCCATTTTCGATATCTTTTCATTTTGAACATTTCTATGTTTCACAAATAGTTCTTTTACATAGTTCAAGAAAATAATTTCCATTCTTCTGCTGAAATTCCCCATCTGTGCCTGTTCATATTTTTTACTAGATAATTGAACTTTTTTTTTTTTTTTGTAGTTATTTAAAAATTCTTGCCTAATGACTCTAACATCTGTATTATCTCTGGGTCTGCTTCTTTTGGCTATTCCTTCTCTTGACTATGTTATATTTTCTTCTCTTTTTGCGTGCCTCATAGTTTTTGATAGGGTGACAGATATTGTGTGTAAAAGAATTGTAAAGGCTGTAGAAATTTAAAAGGGCATGCTCTTTTATCAGGACACTGGTGAGTGGGCTGAGTCAATCTCATTTATAATTGAAATGGGTGTGAGTTTGCCAAAACTTTAGTTAGATTCATTTCATCACTGACTTCAGGTGTTTTTAGGGCAGTATCATGACTTTCCTTTTAGCAGGGAGTGGAATCTGAGCCCTGGCAAAACTCTGAAGATTTATTTACATTACATAGCCTAATACTAGTTCACTCCTGAGGTACCTAAGGGAATTGTTCAGTTTTATGCTCTGACTCCTGCCTTAATTTCAGGAAGTTCCCATAAGATGACTCTCAACTCACCTGCCTTATTCCCAGTAGTTAGTATACGGCACTCTTGCTGTATGTCTGGTGATGATCCATTGGAAAGAGTTGGCTGGTGATGCAGACTTACTCTATGGCTGAGGCTCCTTGGAATTCTAACCCATGTAGCCGTTAAACTTGTTTTAACATTTTCCTGGTTTCTCCTTATTCCTGTCTGTGGTGGATTTCTGTTCTTCCTACCACTTTGCTAGGAATGAAAGCTGATGTTTTGGCCTCTTCTTTTGGGACAGACTTGACACATTTAGGCTTCTTGGCAGCCTCAGTCCCTGAGAGGAGAGAAAAGGAGACAAAATAAATAATGGATGAATTTTTCTAAAATTGATAAAAGGTATTAATCCACAGATCCAAGAAGCCTTAGCAAACCCCAAGGAGGATAAATATCAAGAAAACCACACCTTGGCTGGTCATTGTTCTGCTGAACAGAAAATCAACTGGGACAAAAACTGACCCATTACATATAGGGGGAAATGCTAAAAATAATAGCTAACTTCATATCAGAAATAAAAGAGGCCATATATGGAGTAGAATTAAACAAAAGCATTAAGATGGTCCCCAAACCTTACCTGAGCCAAATTCCTGAGTGTCACTAATTTTAAATATCTACCAATCACTGTTTTCCCTCCCCTACAATATCACCTACAAAAGAATAAATGTACTTCCTTAAAACCCTTAATTTAAATTTTCTTGCCAAGACATAACTGCCATGAATAAATTATGTGTAACATTATACTACCAAAAAAAAAAATCTCCAGATTACACAGTTGTGGACCCTTAAATAACTGACCATCACTATTACAGAAGCTTATAGAAGTCTTTTCTGAATAATTTGGTATCACTCCCCACTAGCTGTGCTCTTCACGTTGATGTTTCTCTCTCTCTCTCCCTTCCTCTCTCTCCCTCCCACGCTATCTGTACAAAAAATGGAAAAATATCCTCGGGTGAGGATAAAAAAAAATCAATGTGAGACAGACACATCAACTGGCTGCCTCCTGCTTGATCCCAACCAGGGCCAGGGACGAACTGCAACCGAGGTATGTGCCCTTGACCAGAATCCAACCCATGACTCATTGGCCTCCAGGCTGACACTCTACTGCTAAGCCAAAGTGGCCAGGGCTATATAGTTAGTTTTTATTGCTCTAATATTTGATTTGTGTAAATATACTAAATTTATCTTCACACTCTTTCTAATCTTTCTTTCTTCGACTTCTCACTGATTCTTGGCATTTACTATCATTTTATAGGGTAGAATATGCAAGGCTGCCTCTTTATGGGTTTTAATTTCTTCTTAAGTATGTCCTGGCAATGACTATGACATCCATACTCAATGCCTAGACCTAGGTTACTGAAACAGAGTTCCATTCTATTATGCTTTTATATGATGATAAAATATTTATCAAAATGATAAATCACGACTGTCAACTCATCACCGAAGTGGTATACATTTAAGAGCAAAGTTTAAAGAACTATATATCTTTATGATGAGTGAAGTACTTTAGCACACATTTTATCTTCATAGTTTAATTTGATGTTAGTTTTTCATTGATTTTACGAGAAGACTTTAATTTTTCCTCCCTCACTTATACTACTTTGGAGTTGGAAGCCCTTCTCGGATCTCCTGCCTACTTTAGACACAGCCCCTCAGAGTAACTGTAATTGAGGTTCTGTTACCAACCTTTTCTCAGGTAGCTGCCTTCGGCTGACAGTGCTGATCGAAGGGACTCCCATCCAACCAGACAGCCCTCGCCTCTCACAGACTCTTCTGTCGCCCTGATGCTGTTCATGACACACAGTCTCTTCCTCTGCCGTCATCAGGCCCAGAATGCAGAGAAAGATGACAGCTGTGTCTGGGTGTGTCCCTCTCAGCCCCATGCTTTCCATCTCTAGAAGTTGTGCTATCCTTAATTTAGGCTTATTTTTGCCTCTGCCTCCTTGGCCCTCCCCAGCCAAGAGCTAACATATCATCAGAATACACTTCCCTGCCCCTTTCTAAGGATTTTCGAAGTAGACTTGCTTTCAACACTAAGGAGACCTTTTTATTTTAGGACATTTTAAGCACATTTGGACAAAACACATCATTTAACAAAAACACGAATACAATAATTTTCATACATCTTTAAACTGGGTTTTAGAAACTGCTGACCTCAAAGTCTGTGGGAACTGGTGTTGCTGTTGAGAGCCATCAGAAGGTGGCAGTCAGGCAAGGTGGTGATAAGGGAGGGTGTAGCCATGGCCCTCTGCTTTGCCTTGAGGTAGTCTTATCAGTGGATGATGGTGGTTAAACTCGGGAAAGAACTTAAGCTCCATAAAACTGTAATCCTTTGGTGGTTTTTAGGAGCTTCTCACAAATACAGAGAAACAGCTTATTTTAACACAAAACGCTGGTGTTTTTAGAGGCAATCATTGTACTTGCTGAGATGAGAAATTATTGCCTCTCCTTGTACAGGTGGTAGAAGTAAAATGTGTGTTCCTGGTTACTCCCTTGACAAAGTCTGGTGTCTTTTCTTTTCCTTTTTTCCATTTACCTCCCTTATTTTCAAAGGTATGAGACTGTGACTACTTTCTCTTTATTTGAACTTTTTCTTCCTTTAGCTTCTAGCTCTTTCACCTTCTCCTTACCTTTAGTTATTTCCTTTTCTCCTATATGACATATGTTCTTCCCTCTTTGCTCTTCATTAACTTGGTTCTTCCCCTTCGCCTTTCTTAACCTTTTCAAGCAGTTTGAATCATCACTCTTGCCTTTTGCAATGTGACTTTCATCTCTCTCTCCTGCTTGGAGCACCTGCTCTCTAGTTTTGCATTTCTTCTTGTCCATGGAGAGCTCTGTGCAGAAAGCAAGCCGTTGAAAACCAAGTGCACTGTTCATGGCTAACTATTCTCAGTCAAGAGAACCCTCTCTCAGTCCCGAGAATTGTCCCCGGAAACGTCCCTTTTCACCCGTGCCCGTCATCACTCTGCTGATCCTTACCTTCGTGTCTCGTAGGCTGCGTTCTTGCTCTCTCTTTCCGTGCTGATGTGGTTTTCAAACATAGTCACAGAATCTTTACCCTTCTTCCCATTAAAAAAAAAAATGGTGGAGTGTAATTCTTCTCCCTTGAACTTGGGCCGGGCTTAGTGACTCAGTTCTAGAGAACAGAACACGGCAGAAGTTATGCTGTGCGGCTTCCAAGGCCAGGTTAGAATTGTGATAGTTTTCACCTGGTGCATGGGTGCCTGTCTGCATCCCCTCCCTCCTCTCTCTCTGGACACGCACCTTTGGAGCCCCAAGCTGCCGTGTTAGAATTCCAGCTACATCACACAGAGACCATGTAGAGAGACTCTAGGCCACATAGAGATAGAGGTGCCCGCGGCCCACCGCCCCAAGCTAGTTGAGCCTCTGGCTGTGTGAGGTTCACGCCTTGAGGCAGACACATCATTGAGGGAGCCCTCACGTGGTTCCGTGGTTCACATGCGCCACCCCAGGTGAAGCTGAATGAAGTGGACACGAGCCGTCTCTGCCGAGCTCTGCCCACGTTGCAGATTCGTGAACAAATGTTGTTTTAAGCCACTCATTTGGGGGAGGGTTACTAGACAGCCATGGTAACTGGAAGACTTACTACCAGAAATCCTCAAATGAGGTGTTGAGGCTGGTTTGGATGCGCAACAGTTGGTGTGTGACTAGTGATGCCAAAGTCATAGCGCTGAAGTCGGAGACTCTCAAGTTTCTGGTGGCGTCAAGGTTCCCACTTGTCACTCATACTTCTGTTCCCGTGTGCCCGGTAGGAAGGAGGGGGTTGCAGCTGGATAACGCGGTCACCGTTGTGCCGACCCCCAGCGCTCCTTTGAGAGGTGTCCTTTGTCATGTGTGTCCCCGTGGGAAAGAAGGTGGAGGCCAGTGATCTAGGCCCTCATCACCTCAAGCCCAGACCAGCACCAGCTTCCTTCTCCAGCTCCCTTCCATGCCGTCTGTTGCACTTACAGTGATAGATTCACACACCCATTGTGTGGAAAGAAAACCCGTGTGAAACGGCTAAAAATCAGTGTTCAGGGCCTTTCTGTTCTCACAGTTTATTAACAGTGATACCTGAGAACCTCTTTCTCTAAGATCTCTACGCAGAGCAATCCTGTCTGTTGATTAGGGGACGGTTGTGTGCGGAAATACAGGTCTGGTAGGGAGGCCTCCGCCACACTGTTGTCTGGGGGGATGTTTACTCCTCTCGGTTACTGATGAGGCAGGGACCTGGCTCACCTGCCCCCGTACTTTTGACCCACTGAGGCCTTTCCAATAACAGCCTGTGGTGCCTCGTGTCTGCAGAGCCAGGCTGCCCAGCGCCGGGTAGCTAGACAGCTATGACCCCCGCTGATCTTTCGAGTGGGCCTCAGATTTGTAGAATCAACACAATTTATCATCTTGCATACTACTATTTTGGAGTCTTTTAATGTCATGAATTTCCCATACCCACATTCTTGATGGCAGAAAAGGGCATTTTTGAACAAATAAGCCAAAATTAAGTGAAATTCTGCAGCTGTATATAGTCTATATTTGTCTTTTTTTTTTTTTATTATTTTCACCCGAGGACATTTTTCCATTTTTTGTTCAGATAGAGTGGGAGGGAGGGAGAGAGAGAGAGAGAGAGAGAAACATCGACGTGAAAGGGACACATCGAGTGGCTGCCATCCGCACAACCCAACCAGAGCCGGGGACAAACTGCAACCAAAGTACATGCCCTTAGCGGGAACCGAACCCCGGTCTCTCTGGATCTCAGGCCAATGCTCTAACCGCTGAGCCAAACCAGCCAGGGCTATATTTGTCTTTCTAAGCAGGGAGAAGAATTTTTTGCTCAGATTATGCCCCATTTCCTAACTTGATATAAATTTTCCTGATTCTTTTTCACATAGCAACCCATGTGAATTAAGTTCCAGAGTGGTCCCCACACACACATCCGAATGGCAATTACTGCTCTGTTTAGGAGAGATACTGAGTCTGTGTCTGTGTTCCCGTTTCATTGGCTATACGCATATTTTGCACAGCTCACTCTTGTCTTTTTAAAGATAAATGGATATTGATAGTTAGAGAAGCCCACGCATCATCATAAACATCGTATTTAGCTAGGGTCTATGCTAAATAGACCTGTCACCCAGAGTTGACGCTGGCTGGTGTTTTCAAGAACGATCTCAGCTTTCCTGAAGGGGAGCCCCGATCAAGCACAAAAGGGGAGATAAGGTGTGGAAATAAGTGAGCTGTGTTTCCTTCTCCTCCTTCTCTCTTTCCTCTGGACTAATTTTCTACTGCTGCCAAGTTACCACACATACAGTTAGTGGCCTGAAACACCACAAGTTGCTCATTTGCTGTTCTACAGGTTAGAAGCTGGCTCGGTCTCCCCGCAGTGACATCCCGGTGTCACCAGGGCTGCGCTCTTTCTGGAGGTTGTAGGGAAAACCCATTCTGCTGCCTTTTCCGGCTTCTAGAGCTGACGTGCCCCCCCATCTTCAAAGCCAGCGTTGGTCCAGCTCTCTGTGCCTCCTTCTGTAGTCACATCTCCCTCTGAGCACAGCCAGCAAAAGCTCTACTTTTAAGAGCCTGTGATTCGCGTGGGCTCACCCGTCTGACCCAGGCTAACCCCCGTCTCAAAGTCTTCATTTCACCAGAGTCCTGTTTTGCAGTGTAAGGCAACTTCTTCCCAAGTCCCAGGGATTAGGATGTGGATGTCTTTGGGTGGCTGTTATTCTGTCTACCACACCCCATCCTTGCAGGTTTTCATGTCAAACTGGACTTGAAATGCTGGAGACTTTTGTACACCCCCCGGGAGGGCTTGTCAAGCAGACATCATAAAGCGGTGCGCGGAATGGACCCATAGTTCCCTGCGAAGTCTGAGGACTTCCAAATGCGAGGAGGCCGAGTAGCTGAAGGATAGATCGGCCTGGTGAACATCGCGGGTAGCGGCCCCAGGACGCGGACCTTGAGACAGAGGTTTGCCTGTAGGACTCTTGCCAGGAGGTGTTCTCGGACCAGCGCCTGTGGGCAGAGAAGGGCGCAGCGCTGGGCAGGTGAGTCGCTGTCAAGTCTCCTGCTGATCCGCCAGGCAAGCGAGCACAGGCCCGTCTGCGTAAGCGGCCGCTGCTCTGAGCTGTTCTGGGAAGGGGCAGGACGTCGACCGGCGACTCTCCGGTTGCAGGCAGTTTCCTGAGAGGGACGTGGCCCACACTGGCCGATGCCCACACTCCAGCAGCCAGGGTGTGGCCAGGGCAGGAGGGGCTTATCTGTCTAGCCGACAACAGTGTCCACCACGGGTAATGACAGTTGAATGTTGCATAGGTCAGCTGGCCAGTGGGATGACCCCGGCATTAGTGGGGACAAATCCACTAACGGTGGGGGGAGAGGGAACCCACCCTGTCAAATAACAGATGGGACGAGGGCGGCCCCCGTAACTTAATTTGGTAGTTTGGAGACAAGGAGGTGTGTCGTGGAGGGCAGGGTCTCTGACCCAGGACTGAGGGCAGCAAGAAGCTTTGTGCCCAGGGGGACTGGTGAGCCCCGGAAGTGCCAGGCCAGGCTCCAGTTCTGAAGGGTTGCAGAATAGGCCTCCATTGCCAGCAGCTGACAAGGTCAGGGCGGGAATGTGGGACCCGGGCTGGACACAGATTCGGGGTGGGGCAGGGGCCGGCTGGTGGAGGACTGGCCCCAGAGCTGGGGCTGTTGCTCCTCCATCCCTGCTGGGTCAGCGTCTCAGAGCCTGCAGCCAGCCTGCCTTTGGGGAGAAAGGGAAGATGAGGCTGGAATCCAGGCTGAACCTGACATGTAACTGAGTTTCCTTC